ATTTAAATGTAGGTAGGTACTATATTTTGAAAACTTATGTAGCTACATGCAAGTAAACACCAAACACGTACCGATATTTACAAACAGTTAAACGCGCGTGCACACACACACACACAGACAAGCAGACAGGTGAACGCACGTACACACATCCATAAACATCAGGGATTACATTAATTATGAAAGAGCTTTTAATGCCCTCGATACAATTGCAATGCGATGATGAGGGAAAACTTTTTTGAATTGTTTGTTCGTTTGACGCCGCAAGACAAATGGGCTTGTTTGAGGACATCTTGTCTTGCGTTGGTGTGTGTTTGTCTGCTGTTTTTTGTTAATTTACGTGTGTGTGTGTGTCGCGTGTTTATGTGTTTGGATGTGTGTGTTTATCAATATGTTGATTGGTGTATGCAGAAGTCGTGGAAACTTGCTTTATGCATTTTGTACTAAATTCAATTGAACCCTTAGAGGTAACATTTATTGAAACTGTAGGCTAAATTAAATTTCACGTCATAAAACTCTTAAAATTTTCAAGTAAATTATTTTAACATTATAAGTTGAATGCATTAAATTTTTAAATGCTTTTATCATGCCAATTTCATTGTCATAACAAAATTTCCTGTTTAAATTACGTTACATGGTCAGGCGAGTATTTCAAATGAGATTAACGTGAAGCAATCACGCAACATCATTCGTTCTTCATGTCTGATGTTCATCAGGTTGAACCTCTGACTTCAACGTTTGTGGCATGTTATCATATTGAAATTTTTTTGAAGCCACTGTTTATAAGTTGATATATGTATAATTATACAATTTATACAATGAACGACACGATGGTCTAATGGTAAGAGGCCACAGGCCAGGTCAATGTGCTGCTACAGTGACTCAGTTCGAACGCGAATAGATTCTCGTTTATCAAATACACGGATACACAGACCTGTGTACCTGTACTTAAATACGCCGTGTTATTGTTGCTAAGTGTGGGTGTCTTTAAGGAAAATACTTGTTTTAAAAAATTATTTAATATGAAAAAATAAAATTATGTACACACACACACACACACGCACAGACAAACATAGAAAACTGAAATTTTTAATTTGTGACTTACCTTGATTTCTGCTATTAAAATTCTTCTAATCTTTACTACAATAGTTCGTTTGTTTGTTTGTTTGTGATTATATTTGAACAGCATTGACCTTCGTAAACTGAATTTTGGGTGCGTTTTTGATCAGACTAAAAATTTAGTCTCATAGTTTACAAATTAAAAGTTAATTAAATGGCTTTTTCAAGCAATCAGGTAAAGTAAATATTTATTAAATGTACAGACATTACGACACATAGTATGAAACCAAATACTTCAATCTTAATCTGCGATTGAGTTATCTCAACAAGAAGTGAAAACTCAAACAATTTTTTGTATTCAATTGATCCAACCTATTCTAAATACATATGCTAAAGTAAATACGCACATAAATTTGTATAATGTATTGTGATACAATTGTTTATAAATTTCTGTTTCAAATTGTTCTTTCATAGAACTATTTCATACGTTTTTTAAGCTTCTCTCTCTCTCTCTCTCTCTCTCTCTCTCTCTCTCTCTCTCTCTCTCTCTCTCTCTCTCTCTCTCTCTCTCTCTCTCTCTCTCTCTTACTCATTCATAACATTTTTTTGCAGTGCTTGAGTGTTATAAAGTTGTCAGGTCATCAATTATTGAAAAACTACATATCCTAATTATCTTGCTTCAATTCGGAAGAAATGGAATGGAACATAGTAACAAAATGGCTGTGATGAATATTGAAGGTAATGTAGTAATGAGAAAATGATTGCTAACCTGCTCCTGTCGGTTTTGTGCTTGATTACATTCTCTCTTGAGAAATATTAACCGAAAGGGAAAATTTAAATTGAGATTTAAAAATCATTTTAAGAAATAAAAATTATATTCGATATTTTATATACTTTAACGTAAAAGTATAAAGTATGTATTCATAATGAAGAAAGAGATTAATGTGTATTCACAATCGAGAAAATGAGAACACGAGAGCAGCGAGCATGATATTGACGCTGCATCTTCAACTGAAACATGGCATAAGAATTTCAAAATTGACATTCTCATTTCAAATTTTAATATAAAAATTTCAGCAAACATAGAAACATGTTAAGAAAATAAGACACAGCAACATAAAACATAAAATCAACTTGACAAATATTCACGTGAGCATAAACGAAACCAATTTGTAGCGTATATAAAAACCCACATAGTCCACAAAAAAAAACACATAGCCCACAAAAAACACACATACCACACACACGAACATTGCTAGAACAAATAGCTGAATAGCGTTATGAAATAAAGAAAGAAATAATTTACAAATTGCGGACTATCGCATTGATGTAAGACACGAATAAGACAAGTTGGCAATGAACCGTACAAAGCAATGCTAGTATAAAGACCATCAATGCAATGCTTTTAATGCCTCAATCTACGTACTGGTTGTACTGCACAAATGTGCGTAAGATGATATATGTACAAGGGGTATTGTATTGTATTGTATCTGGCGGTATTTTAGTGTATCATAATGTATCTATTTTGTATGTTATCGGATACTGTATATAATTTGCAAGAAGACGCTATATAAAAATGGATATGGATACACACGCCAACAAATAAGATATCGATTATATATACACGTACACGAACATGCATACCACACACACACACACACACACACACACACACACACACACACATGCATGCATGCATACACACACACACATACATGCATAGCATAAAACACACAAACACATACATACACACTTACATACATACATACATACATACATACCTACATACATTTATATTTACATACAAATTCAAGCAAGCGAAAAACAAACAAACGTACATAAATACGATATGGGAAGGTTCAGACGATAAATCAATGGTAGGTCATGTAGTTTCGAGGGGTCAGAGGTCAAGATTGGTATCGTGATATGCATCGAGCATAACTCACACCTCGTTAAAATCGTACATTATAGGCAATCAGACAGATGAAGAAAATGATGAGCATTGATGAGGAAGAAGAAAACTACGATGATGATGATGATGCTGTGATGATGATGATGACGGTGATGCTGTGATGATGATGAGGAGGAGAAAGATGAAGAGTAGGAGAAAGATGTGGTGATGATGATGATGATGACGTGGTGATGATAATATTTTTCAAATTTGTAATCAGAACGAATGATAAGGACAATGACAATGACAAAAGCGTTGATGGTTTAAGGGAAAAAGAAGAGGGAAGATGATGATGGTTGTGGGGGTGAGATTTCAAGTGGCTGTGTTAAGGGCGGTAATTATGCTGATGGTTTTTTTACCGGAAGTGATGAAGATGACGATGACGAATGATGATGAACAAGGATGAACGATGATGAACGATTGCAATGCCGACTAAACAGATGATGTAACTGGTAACAATGGTGGTAATAAAGATGAATTAGAGATAAAACATCTACATTTAATTTCAATTCTTCATAAAAAATAAATTTTCAACCAGTTATGGAGTATATTTCTATTTTTATTAGGTAAAATCATATCGAAAACTATATACAAAAAATTAAATAAATAAAATTATAGATATGAAATATGAAATTATATATATATGTAGGTGTGTGCGTGTGTGTATGTGTGTATGTGTGTGTGTGTGTGTGTGTGTGTGTGTGTGTGTGTGTGTGTGTGTGTGTGTGTGTGTGTGTGTGTGTGTGTGTGTGTGTGTGTGTGTGTGTGTGTGTGTGTGGAATACATGTACTTAGAGGATGACAGCGTGAAAAAAGGAAAAAGGCTTAGTGATCTGGCATGGATTTGAAACGTGTCACATCTCCATACTTCCGACGATTTGAAACGATTTTTATTGCATTAAACAGCTTTTCCGTATCGAGCTTTCAATTTAATTCAATTTTATGGGATCCATTGTGTTTGGGGTTACTTCATCCTGGTCGTCAACTTTTTCTTTCTTTCTTTCTTTCCTCCTCTTACTTTCTCTCTATTTTTTCGTCATCGTTTCTGTCATTATCACGACATATCTATAATCAAAAATTTCCTTAAAAATTGAAAAATAAATAAAAATATTTTGTTCAATTTTAGTAATGATTGTTTTTGAAACAACGGCTAAATAATAATAATATTAGTAATAAATGAATAATATTAATTATTGTTGATGTTGTTACTATCATTACAATAATTATTATGATGGGTTTTATGATGATATTTATGATAATAATAATTATAATTATGGTGATAATTATGACTGCCACGCAGAGCTGATAAGTGTGAAGTTGATGAAGAGGAAGGACAATCAGCTCGGTATCAAACTCATTCAGAAGAAGTTCGTCACGATCATTTTTCACCATTTTAATTTAGAATAATTTTTTTTCTTCAAATTTTCCAATTACAATTTTTTGTTTTTTATTTAGTTAACGGATTCACATGTGATGAATCAGAAAGTAATTGATAAAATAAAAATATATCTTTAATTAAAAATGAAAAATACATTATTAAATAAATAAAAATAAAACAAATAAAGGAATGAATGAGTGAGGGAGTGAACGAATGAATAGATGAATGAATAAACGAATGAACGAATGAACGAACGAACGAACGAACGAACGAACGAACGAATGAATGAATGAATAAATAATTGTTACATGATTTAACAAAATTCATTTCAGGCATTTGAATGGTATTTATGTCTTGGAAATAGTGAGTCTCTTCGTTATCATCCATCATTTCTTTTAAATTGATTTTACCATTTATTTTCCTTTATTTATTTATTTGTTTATTTGTTAATTTATTTATTTATATTCTTCACAGTTTATTTTATTGGTTTTTGTTCAATTCAACTTGAAAGCTAGGAGGGAGATTGTTATAATTGAGACAATTTTGTAAAGTTTCAAATTTGTATCAATTGCTTTGATGAAGAATTGTCAAAAAATTTAATTCATCAAGTTATTTTTCATTCTAATTTCTCCAAAGGGATTACCTATTTAATTAATTATTTTTCAGTTACTAAATGGATTATTATCGATTAATTTGTGTTCAAGAAATAATTGTAATACCAATAAAATACTTCCCAGCAAATTACACTTCACTCACTCTTTACTCGAATTTACTTGAGAGAAATACATTTCCTTTGATGCCTCCATTTTTAATTTCAAAGCGTTCTGTGTTTTATGTTAGCATGGATGGAACCATAATCATATAAAAAAAACAATCAAAGCAAATACCAAAAAGGCAAGACAAACCTTTCCAATAAATTTGAAAACATGGAAAAACTTACTCTATACGAACGACAGAACGAAAAAAACGTTTTCCGAAAGGAAGAAAAGAAGTAGAAATGAGCGAAAAAATGAAAGAATGAACATCGAATGAACCGGTCTGATTTACAACTCTATAGCCTTTCAAGAGGAACTATTATTAAATCATATTACATGCTGGATTATATGCCCATGTCCTCTCTCTCTCTTTCTCTTTCTCTTCCTCTCTCTCTCACTCTCTTCTTTTTCTATTTATATATCTAGCTTTTTCTCTGTCTTTTTAATTTCTTTTTAATTTCCAACTTTTTTTCGTTCTCTCTTCCTCCGTTTCTCCATCTTTCTTTCATGTTTCCCAACCGTTCTGTGTCTTCTCTTTTGCATTTTTCTTCTCATCATCATCCCCTCACGTTGTTTCTTCTTTTCCTGGCTGGCAGTTGTCTCTGCAGTCTCCCGCACAGACACGTGAACCTCGTGCACAGTATTGTGTTGTGTGTGTGTGTGTGTGTGTGTGCGTGCGTGTGTGTGTGTGTGTGTGTGTGTGTGTGTGTGTGTGGGCGGATGAATAAGGTGTGTATGTATGTATATCTGCTTGCAAGTGCATGGGCTTGAGTAGAAAGTTACAAAATTGAACACTTCAGTCTACGAAAAGTCAATTTTCCAGTTAATAAATTCTATAGCAAACTAACTCAGTCATGCGAAACAAAGCAGATGGACTAAATAAAAAAACAATCAACAGCAAAAACATACATACATACAAACATACAAACAAACAAGCATACATACATACAAACATACAAACAAACAAGCATACATACATATATACATACAAACAGACAGACAGACAATAAGCATTTATACAAACAATCAAACAGACAATAAACATACAAACAAACATACATACAAGCAGACAGAAAGCAAAACTCTTAACCAAGCGCCCACGGAAGAAAAAACGTAAAAGCTCAGTGAAATGAAAGAAATATAAAATAAACAATTCATGCTGAGTAGAGGCAGAACGGAGCAGAATGTGAAGAAGCATACCCTCAAATAGAAACATAAACAAACAAACAAACGACAAGAAAAATAAAAAAACTTGTATGCCATAAACATGAACCTAACAATAGACGTAAACTTAAACAAAAACAAATGAAGGAAACCTCCAAAAAAATCTTACATTTCCCGCCACCTGTGCTTGCGTATGAAGGTTTTCCGTCATCTTGCCTAGATTATTCTCATTATATTTCATTCATGTTTTTTCTGTTTGTTTATTGTTTGTTTATTTTGGATGTTGTTTGTTTGTTTGTATTTTTGTTTATTTTTTTGTTTGTTCGTTTATTTGATTGGTTGTTGTTAGTTGTGTCATGGTTTAATTTGCATATTAGGGAGTTTTTTTTAATTTTCTGTTTGTTCCTATGTACATTCATTTCTGTATGAGTTTGTCATCTTTTTTATTTCAATTTAAGATAAAAAAATAGTTTGATCTTTTTGTATTAATAATTCCTACATTATACTATAAGTAGTATTGTAAAGTAATATCTGTAGAGTAATTTAAGGTTGGTTATCGTTAATTTCATATTTTATAAAATCTTCAATAATTTCATCACTAACATTAGCACATGACTAACAACATCATCATCATCATTGCATCGTCATCACCATAATCATCACACTCCATCAACATCTTAGGTCTTAATCGTCTTTCGCATAACCACCACCACCAACAACAACAACAACAGATGTTTCAATCATTACACACTTATTGTTATCACAACTATATTATCACCGCAGATATTTACTTTTGTTTTCATCATCACATCCTCGACATCACCATCATCATCTTCTCCAACATCTTCATCGTCATCGTCATCTTCACCAACATCTTCATCATCACCGTCATAACCATCATCATCTTCACCATCGTCTTCATCATCATCGTTTTTGTCATCATCGTCATCACTGACACAGTCTCATTCATGAAGTCATCATCGCCTGAAATCATCTGATCATCAAAACGTTAAATCATAAACGCCACTCTTGTTAATTACTTCCATTGTAGGTAGTGCAAATTCTGATTAAAATAATTTTTTTATTTAAAAAAACATTTCTACATTTAAAAAAGGAAAGCTTATTTTAAATCACTATGAAATAGATTTTCAGTTTGAGACAGAAATAAACATTTAAACATGTAATGCGATGTAATGTATTTGGTAATTTTACGTAATGTAATCAGCAATGTGATGTTATATGAATTGATGTGAGGTATACGATGTGACAAATGATGTTCACATATGGAGAAACATAACTTTACTGTTTGACGAGACATTTAAGTGGAATGTCTTCAAACGGATCTATTATCTCAAGTTAAGCACTTTTCCACAGACACTCGTATACCTTCTTCAGCAATCTCTTAAAATTCAACAATACTGATAACATCATCATATATATATATATATACCCATTGTAGCTATCATCAACACCATCTTCATCATCATCATCATCCAATCTTCATCATCACCACCACTACCACCATCATGACATCTTCTCCACCATCATCATCATCACACCATCTCCATTTTCATCATCATCTTCATCATTCTCGTCATCCCATATTTTCCAAATTCATCGATTGCAGCACGCATTCTCGAGCACTTAAGAACTTTAATGTGCCAATTACAGGCTGATACTTGCACACGAGTCATTTATATTTGTATGTGTGTGTGTGTGTGTGTGTGTGTGTGTGTGTGTGTATGTATGTATGTGTGTATGTATGTATGTATGTATGTATGTATGTATGTATGTATGTATGTATGTATGTATGTGTGTATGTATGTATGTATGTATAAATGTATGTATGTGTGTGTACGTATGTATGTATATGTATGTGCGTGTATATATGTGTATGTGTGTGATTGTGTGCGTGTGTGTGTGTGGTGTGTGTGTATGTATGTATGAGCAAATGTCTGTATGTTTGTGTGTGTGCATGTGTGTACGTGAATAAAAAATTCAGCATGTAGTAATTAATATAGTCAATAAATTTACTTTATAGTGAGTTAAAGCATCATTATAAATTCATACCAAGCAATAAAATGAAAATTTTCCAAAAGGGGTTTGCACATTTGGCAAGGTAATCGTCTTAAGTGGAGTCCCATTCAAATGTTCAATTACTTCTGTATGTATGTACGTGTGTGTGTGTGTGTAAGTGTGTGTGTGTGTGTGTGTGTGTGTGTGTGTGTGTGTAATGTATGTATGTATGTACGTGCATGTTTTAATAGTGATACTCATGTAGGCTGATGCATAAGCACCGTGTTAGTAACTTCAACAGTACTGTTAGTTACATTAAAAAGCATGTGATCAGTTGGAATGTTATGGAGATGTTATGTTAAGGGAGGATGAATGTGTGTGGGATGTGACGTCATCACATATCACGTGATGTGCTAGGGGTTTGTCACGTGATAATGTACCTGAAACCTCATTGGCTAGCTGGATGTTGATGAGTGGGAGGGTTGTTGAAATGTTGGAGGCGCATCTGCCGCTTGTCTAATTGGGTTCAGATGGTCTCTGCATCATTGTCATGTCGTTTTTGTTCTCACTGGTGATGTTTTTCTGGAAAGCAAGCCAGTTACATAATAAACATTCCATCACACTATTTTACGACAGTGTACGTGTATGTGTGTGTTGTAAATCTGATGTATATATACAAAGCAAAGTTCGTGTGTATGTGTGCGTGTGTGTGTGTGGTGTGTGTTTATTTGCATGTGTATGTGTGCGTGTGCTGTTAGATCACTCTTTTTGCAACATGCATCATAACATGGCACGCATATTCTTCCAGCCCATCAAACGCACATGTGACTCGTGAGTGCAGGCAGCTTGGGCGTGCGAGTCTGCGTTTGACAGATTTCATTCATCCTGAATACGCATTTGAACATGGTTTCAACACAACGACTAAAGACTAGGCATATTTATCTTAGTTCTCTTTCGTCATAAATCTGTCATTCAATTGATTTTATTTTTATATCAAAAACACTTTATTATTTTTCAATTCAAATTTGATTTGAAACATTATCAGACACACTCAGTTACTCATTCTAATATTCTGCTATTCTTGTTTTTTAGAATAAAAGTTTATTTTTGTGTCCCTTTTTTTAATTTACACAATCATCCATCAATCCATCCATTCATCCATCCACCCATCCATCCATCCATCCATCCATCCAACCATCCATCCATCCATCCATCCATCCATCCAACCATCCATCCAACTATCCATCCATCCATCCATCCATTCCACCATCCATTCATTCATTCATCCATTCATTTATTTCTTTTATTCATTCATTTTTTCCTTTCTCCGTTCTTTTATTCACTTTTGCATGCCATCAATCTTTATAATTTATTTTACAATTCAATCTCGATAAACTTCCTTTCTACGGGCGAGGCTTTCAATTTTTTTGTCGAGATTGCAATTCACCACCGAGTCAGCCAGCATCATCAAAAGACAACAACCGCAACATTAATTTCAGCGACATCAACGACAACCACAACAACATCATGACGTCAACAACAACAACATTTATGTCATCAACAACACATGTGGTGGTTTCTAATCTCACAATTTCTAATTCCACATCATGACATCAACAACAACAACATTAAAATAACAACAACATAATGACGTCAACAACAACAGTATGGTATCAACAATAACAACAACATCGTGACGTCAACAAAAACAACATCAAGATGTCAACATCATGACATCAACAACAACACTATGGGGTCAACATCAACAGCAACAAAATATTATTATCAACAACAACAACAACATGACATCAACAATCACAACATCAACAATGACAACATTCCCATAAATCGCACTTGTAGTTTCACTCGCTTCCATCATTATCTTATTATGATCATCGTCAGAACTCATCATCACCATGTAAATTTTTAAGTTGCAGCACCGCTATTATCGTACATATTAAAAATAATTTTATAGCTCCTAATTTTCCAAATTTATATTTGTGTTAACTGTGAATACCTTCACAGCCATTTCCAACATCTCCATCCCCACCCCCATCATTATCATCACCATTTTCGCCATTCGACAAAAAGCATTTTTAAAATGATCATCCAGAACTGTTATTCATTCATTCGTTTTTTCATCTATTCATTCATTTACTTTATCAATCAGTCACTCGCTCAGTCAGTCATCTCAAGCCATTTGTTTTTAAAACCTCAAGTCAAACAATATCCTACACCCACAAATACACAAATACACAGACACACAAAGACACAAATTCACAGACGACACACAAATACACAGACGACACACAGACACACAAATACACAGACACACAAATACACAGACACACAAATACACAGACACACAAATACACAGACACACAAATACACAGACACACAAACCACAAACACACAGACACACAGACACACAAATACACAGACACACAAATACACAGACACACAAATACACAGACACAAAAACACACAGACACACAAATACATAAACATGTATGTGAATCGTTGAACCTGATAAAACTCAACGTGAAAAATGTGTACGCGAATGTAGACAAACCATTGGACACCGACCAACAGGACATCAAGATACATTCATTCGAGTGTACTACTTGCGTGTGTACTGCGTTTGTGTACTGTACTCGCACTAAGTACATACCGCGTGAGTACATTGTGAGTACATTTCATGCGTAGTGAGTTTTCATTATGTACGTACCTTGTATGTGTTTCGTGAGTGAACTGTCTGGGCTGGGTACTGTCTGGATATTGTCTGGGTACTGTCTGGAAAATGTCTGGGTACTGTGTATATTACGTTCAGATCAGTGCATCTTAGACTGACAGGAAAGAGTACGCTGGTTAAATACGTTGTACAGACATGTGTTCTCAAAAATGTATTGCAAGAAAAAAATCTAGAAGAGAACTAGTCATGCGGGCTCTACAACGAACTCTGATCTGTATTATATTGTATTGTTGTATTGTGTTGTATTCATTTTATGGTAGCATTTAGTGTCAATAAACACATTTTAAAGTTAAGTGACAACATTTTAAAAGATATAACATTCGAGTAGTATAATCGTTTGATCACGCTGGCCTGGCTCTTTTAAAGTTTAAATTTTTATATTTTGGAAAAAATAAGATCTTCTACTTAAGCTGTACAAATTTGGAACGTGTTTTTTTTTTATTTAAAAAATGTTGGCATCACAAGTTGCAGTGATATTCGAAAACGTCCTGAGGACCATCCATTCATCCAGCAGCACGCAATGAAAAAGATGAAGTCGTCGACAGCAGCTTGGAAGTTCCGCGCAAGTCCAGCGTCATTCAATGCATTGGATGTTCATTTAAATGTATAACGCATTACACAACTAACCGTACAATGCACCTGTGACATTTCACGCACCAGATGTCATGCCGTTACTGAATTCTAACAATTCTTGAGAGGGGAAAATTGAACTGTGTTTATACGGTGAAACGCTGGATACCTTTTACATTATAACAACATGGCACAGCATGCAAATATAATAACATTATTGTGTAATGCCTTTAAAAGAGCACGTCATACTGATGCAATTTAATACGTAACACGACCATCAGGGCCACATTTAATATTTGTTTGTAGTTATTTGTTTGTTTGTGTGTATGTATAGTGTTATGAGTGTGTGTGTGTGTGTGTGTGTGTGTGTGTATGTGTGTGTGTGTGTGTGTGTGTGTGTGTGTGTGTGTGTGTGTGTGTGTGTGTGTGTGTGTGTGTTTGTGTGTGTGCAAGGAACGTAATATAAAAAACTGTTGACTTCATTGGCACGCATTTCAGCCAGTCAAAAAAGATTGACGTGTTTGTACAACTTTGAAAATGTGCTGTGAAAACAAAATGCAAAACAAATTTTGAAAAAACGGTTTTAAAACCAGGAAACGTAATTAACAACATAACGTCCATTGTTCAAATCGTATATAAAACATCCCGTTCGTAGAAAAAACACACAGACACACACATACACACAAAGAAACACACTCACACGAATCAACATACACGCACACAAAAACAAACAACTCAACAAATTTAATGAGCACACAAACATTTTATAAAAGCAAACATAGAAACATGAAAGAATGTAATTAAAGAAGCATGAAACATGATAGCGCGCACACATATACCACGCAAACCAAACAAACAAACAATTCATCCATCCATCCTCCATCCATCCATCCATTTGTCCATCCATCCATCAACCACATACTGAGGCTATTTTTCTCTTACCACTTGTCACCATGGCAGCAGCTAATCAAATAATCAATCATTTAATTGACGCAATCAACCAACCAATCAATCAGCCAACCAACCAATCATTCAGCCAACCAACCAATCATTCAGCCATCCAGCCAATCATTCATCCAACCAACCAATCATTCAATTGAGACAATCAGATCATCAATTTTTGGATCATTTCAATCAACCCAACTGACCAACCTATCATACAACTAACCAACGATACATCTAACCGATCATTCAACCAATCAATAAATTAATAACCAATCATGCAACTGACCAATCACACAACCAATCAATTGATAACCGATCAATCGCCTACTCAATCAGCTAGAGACTTGTGCATGTTAAATGATTGGTTGAAGCGTTCCTCAAGAATGATGACGTCATAATATTCTCTTTGAAACAATCAACACATGATTAACTGCATGCCATCACTTTCGAGACTTCCTTCTCTTCTTTTATGTTTTCTTCTGTCACTCTCTCATTCCCTCTGGTTGGCTTTATTCTTTCTCAAGGTTCATCGCTTTCTTTTTGTCTTTATCTCTCTTTTATCTTTCTTCTCTTTCTCTCTCTCTTTCTCATTCTTCTTCTCTATATTGCTCTCTCTTTTACCTTTCTTCTCTTTCTCTCTCTTTCTCATTCTTCTTCTCTATATTGCTCTCTCTTTTACCTTTTTCCTCTCCTCTTTTTATCTAGTTTTCTATCCCTCTCCTTCAAACATTTCACTGTCCTACTTTCATACTTAACAGTTGAGTGATTTTTAAATTTAAAACATGGAAGCAAGTTGCTGGTGCTGTGTGGAAGTTACCAGCATCCACCCACGTTTGCGGCATGTTTGCCTTCCGTCAATCACTGCTTCTCTCCCTCCCTCTCTCTCTCTCTCTCTCTCTCTCTTTCTCTCTCTTTCTCTCTCTCTCTCTGTTGTATGCGTGTGTGTGTGTGTGTGTGGTGTGTGTGTGTGGTGTGGTGTGTGTGTGTCAGCTTGTTTACGTTTATTAGTTAGTTTATTTTATATAGGCATCAATTAACTTATGTATAGACACAAATCAATTCATTTATTTTGTTTTAAATTTTGACAAATCTAGTTGAGAGTGTGTTGTCTTTTTCTCTAGTTAAGAGTGCCAAATGCGTTAGTTTTGTTTTTATTGTTTGGCCGTCCTGCTGAGTTAAATTAAAAAAATTGTTAAAGTGTTTTTACAGTGTGTTCCGTACGTTCGTTTGTTTGTATGTCTGTGTGTTTGTATGTTTAGATGCCTTCATATTTGTTTGAATATAGTCGGAATGTTTTAATGTTGACGTTTTCATCATGCTATGATATCTTTTTGTTTCAAACTTTTGCTTAACATAATGTGTTTGGTAATAAGCTTGTGTCTTTATCTGAAGATTTGCATATGTTTGATTGTTTGCGCTGTGTTGTGCTTATGTGTGCGTGTATGTGTGTGCGTTTGTGTTTCTGGTGTGTGCGTGTGTGTGTGCGTGTGTGTGTGTGTGCGTGTGTGTGTCTGTGTGTGTGTGTGCGTGTGTGTGTCTGCTAATGTACGCTATCTATCTAGCGTAAACGGACCAGCATCATATTTTAAAAATTGCTTCACAGTTCGCTGATTTCCTAAATCCCCATAAATCACGAAACACACGAAATCTTATATTCCTTTCTCTATTTCTCTCTCTTTCCCTCTTTCTCTCACTCTCTCTTTTTCTCTTTTTCTTTCTTTCTCTTTATTCCTTTTTTTCTGCTACTTATTATTTCTCTAACGAACCATCTTTGTTTCATTCGCTTCTATGTTTATATCCCTTGTTCCATCTTCCCACTAACATATTTCTAACCAGTTGATTCTCGCTCCAGCGTTGGTGATCTATTTTATGTACAAAAAATGTGTCATCATCATCGTGACGTCATTATTTCATCACTAGCACCCTATTTATCAACATCGTCATCGTTCATTTCTTTATTAATGCCTCACTCGTTCAGCCACTAATTAACATTTTATCATCGTCGTATGTGCCTATAAACGTATGTGCGTATAATCAAACCATCAAACCAAAATTATCATTTACAACATCATCAACATCACGTTCGTTGTTGTCATCATCATCGTCATCATCATCGTCATCATCATCGTCATCATCATCGTCATCATCATCGTCATCATCATCGTCATTGTCATCTTCAATTTTTAGTAGCTTAACAACGCCTAAACATCTTCATCATAATTAATTGCACCGTCATCATCTTTTTCATCATTGCCATCACCATCATCATTACCACTACCATAACCATCACTATCATCATCACCATCACTTCTTCATCATCACCATCACTTTCACTTGCCCAGATATGCACACTCATTCTTCTACAATTTTTTTCCCAATTTCTCACGTCTAGGTACATCTAAATTGAAACATTATTATTTTTGGAAAAATAATTGTAAAAATAGCAACTAATTAACATAAAATTTTGATGAAGCCATTAAGTGCTATATCATTATTATTGTTGTTGTCAATAATTCTCTTAATTGATAATACTAATATGGGTACGTATGTTGTAAAATCAGCTGATTTCAACCTTCATATATATAGATCACTCTTTTAATCAAAGTTCTTTCTTGCTTTCGAACCAGTTCCATGCTCAATTACTTTTTTTGTTGCGTGGCACACTTACCGTCTGAGCTATCAAATATGCGTGCGCATGTCCCCAGATTTGCCGATTTCCATAACAATTATAATCAGATAATTATAATTTTATTTAAAAAAATTTCTCTTGAAAATAATGATAATAGTCATAATATTAGCATCGTTATTTTCTTTATTTTATTTTTCGATTTTTTAATTTTTGGCCAAAATGTGTTTTCATTTTGTTTTGTATATTATTATTATTATTGTTTTTCGTTTTTCTTCATTTTGCTTTTGTCGTTTCTGTCGTTCTAACTGGAGTTTATTATTTTTCGTTAAAAAGCTGTTCATCACGAAACCTTTTTCATCCTATTACGATTTTATTGTTGGTGTCGTTGTTGCTGTTCCGGCAAGCTTTTTATTGTTGGTATTATTTTGCTGTTGTTGTTGTTATTGTTTTTGTTGTTGTTACTTACCGCTAAATACTATTTATTGTTATATGTCTTCAAAATTATTAATCTTGAAATATCGTCTGCTTAAATGGTTCACTCTTCATCCTCAAAAACACATACACGCACACATACATACACGAGCACACACACCTATTTACACACACACACACACACACACACACAAGCATACATGAACACACATACAGACACATTAAACGTTTACATACTGAAACACCCAAGCAAACACGCACATACGTACGTACATACATACACACACACATATGCACACGCACACACAGACATATTTACTCAAACACACTCACAGACTCCCCAACGTACAAACTTCTCGTTATGTTAAACACGTATAAAATTATAAACTCATAGTATATGCTGCATAAAGTTTTGATCTAGTCAGAGGCAAACTGCTTTTTCACATGAATAAAAATTTCACACACACATACACACATACACAAATAACATATACACACGCAAACATACATACATGCATACACACACACACACACATTTGCAACTTACAGATATCAGGTGGGATAGCGGATTGGGATGGTCGATTGCAGGCTGATGATTTGATACTCGAGGTTAATGGAAGGAATATCATGAACGCAACGCAGGAAGAAGCAGTGCATCTCATTAAGGTTCCTGTCACGTTATGTGTGAGAATGTCCTCTTCATGTCATTTCGTGTCATGTCATTTCGTGTCATGACATTTTACTTCAATCTCATCCTAATGTGATGTGATGTTCATCCCATCTCATCATAGTTCATGTCCGTGTGATGATGTCACCTCCATCCCTATGTCACTTCATTTCAATTTAACGTCGTCTTAATACAACAACATGTCCATATCTCATTAGAGTTGACAACATTGTCGTTTTCATGTCACGAAATGTTGCTTTGATGTTAAGTGTTGTTGGCATTTCATCTGAGGATGTGATGTGATTGAATGAGTGAGTGAGTGATGAGTTATGAGGTGATGTTTTTATTCATGTCCATTCCATTTTCTGTAATAATGCCTTCATTTGATCTTGACGAAATGGTAAACCTAAATTGATGTCATCTGATCTTAAAGTGTTGAGATGTTATCGTCGCATCAATTTTTGTTTTGATGTGATATGTTTTGGTGTGATAAATTTTTTGACGTAAAATGATGAAATGTTGACTGATTTCAATGAGACATATGTGATGCGATTTGAATTATTGATGTGACGAAGTGCAAAAATAGGTTCTCGGAATGAAGGTGATGTCATTTGATTTGATGTGATTGGTGGTGCTGGAATGCGATGTAATGTTTATTGATTAAACGTGATGTCACGAGATAAAAGCACGATGTAGTAACGTATGCTGGGCCGCGTAGAACTATCAATCACTCATTCATTCAACCAACCAATCAACCGATCAATCTGAAATCCCTAAATCAAAGTGATGCTGTTTGATGCGTTGTGCGTGTGTGTTTGTGTCTGTGTGTACGTTAGTCTGTGTGTTTGTGTCTGTGTGTTTGCTAGTCTGTGTGTTTGTGTCTGTGTGTTTGTTAGTCTGACATGATGTACTCTGGAGAGATTTTTTGGGCCTCGTTTTTAACGGTTGTCTGGTGAGGTAGTGTTATAAAAAAAATAAAGTAAATAACCTAGATAAAGTAGATAATATAATACACTAAAATATGTTTTAACATGATTATTTCAATTGGGAAATGATGAGATCTGTTTTGATGTCATGTGACATGTCAAACAAACATCGCGGACTTTGTGATGTCTGGAAGGTTGTGTTTTGATGTGCTGTTAATGTAAGTTGCTCTGCCTGTGTGCTGATGTGATGTTAGGTAGATCTTTTCACACAAAGAACGGTGACCGCAACATACAAACAAAGAACTTTGAAAGAGCTTTCATCAAAGAATTTTCAAAGCTTTCGAAACACGCACAGCAAATCTAATAATGTTTCTCTGCGTGGGTTTCTTAGTCGGCGAAATTTCATCTCGAAATGAAAAGATGTCAATCAAGCAAACAACAAATTCAACCAATGAAATAACTAATCAATCATCCAATTCATTCAACATTTACCTATTTATTCGTTTAATCACTCATTTGTTTAATTAAATAATTGTTTAATAGCACAATTATTCAAACAACCTATCTTTTGAAAGACCAACCGTTTAACTAGCCAATCAATCAATTATTTAAACAATCAGTCACTCAATCAATCAATCAATCACTCAATCAATCAATCAATCAATCAATCAATCAATCAATCAATCAATCAATCAATCAATCAATCAATCAATCAATCAATCAATCAATCAATCAATCAATCAATCAATCAATCAATCAATCAATCAATCAATCAATCAATCAATCAATCAATCAATCAATCAATCAATCAATCAATCAATCAATCAATCAATCAATCAATCAATCAATCAATCAATCAATCAATCAATCAATCAATCAATCAATCAATCAATCAATCAATCAATCAATCAATCAATCAATCAATCAATCAATCAATCAATCAATCAATCAATCAATCAATCAATCAATCAATCAATCAATCAATCAATCAATCAATCAATCAATCAATCAATCAATCAATCGATCAATCGATCGATCAATCAATCAATCAATCGTTCGTTCAACCAACCATCACATTCAGAACTGCTCAACAGAAGTGACTCTCCTTATATCAAGAATCCATCCAACTTATTCATCCATTTTCGCGTCTTCGACTTCACCTCGCACATCCCTGAATTCATCCGATGACGTCAGCATCAACAGCGATGACGACACACATTTGAATTTTTTCGACCTACAATTCATGCCGCGGGATAAAGTCATTCACGTTCAAAAGGTCTCTTCGTTATTTAATTTGAAGAATAATAAATCACAACGTATAAAACGAAAATCTTGAATAAGGCAACTTGAATATCAGCAATAAACTTTCTGCTAATTTCATACCTACGTTCTTATTATTTTTATTAACAGACTTAAGTTGTAGAGAATGTAGTAGAAAATGTAATAGCTTCTGAAAATATTATATTGTCTCTGTATTTGTTTTGCTGCTAAATATTATTCAATATAAAAAACGAAATGATTTGAACAATTAGATGGAGGGTGAATATTTAGGGTTGAGCATAGGAGGAGGTATAGGGGGGTGCAACAACAAGCACAACACCCCCATCTACATCACCAACCTCTGGACTGGTGGTTGTCTCTCCAAAACTAATCAACTTATGGTTCGCTCGTCTGCTCTCATTTCTTATTTATAAAATGTTCTATATAAATTCGATTAACCGTCAAAACAAAAGCAATTGTTGAGTGATAAATTGATTTTAAACATTATAAAATGCAATTTCCGTGAACTTACTAACGATGTCGTCTTAATTTAATTGAATTTCAAAGAAGGGAGACGTGCTGCTGTCGGTGAATGGAGTTGGTTTGCTAAACACAACGTACGAAGTGGCTGCCAGAACTCTGAAGTCGGCGTCAAAGAAAAGTTTCGTGAGCGTGCATATCTTGCAGGGTAGTGAAACATCAGATGGAAACGGCAACTTCACACCTTCCTGGAAGTTCTGGCTTGCTCTGCCGCAGTCAGCAACCATTCATTTTTAATGCCTATTCGCCGTAACGTCTAAAGTTGTTATTTTCAGTGCATTTTTGTGACGGTACGCACCGGTACGGCGTACCGTCACAACCTTTTCCAATGTGGAGGCAAAAATTATTGATTTTAACAATTTAAGTTGGTTAATTAAAAAATGAAATTGTTTTAGACATTTAGTATGTTTGCAGTTGCGATTTGGCTTGCATAGAGTACCGAGTATTTGTACGAAAAGTCAGTAAAACTCATTGCTTTAACCGAATAAGCACCGTTTTTGACGAAAAAATGACGTACTAAAGAAAAGAAGTCGTCAGCCAGATATATTGTTCCTCACGGTCAACAATGAAACATCGAAACATTTCAAACATTTCCCCCCCACCGGTCAACGTTTGACAAATGTTCAAAATTTAGAACGCCCCCTCTAAAATTGTCTAGATCCGCCACTGAGTACCAGCGCCTATTTTTGTAAAAAAAAACCCTGGTTTTTTTGTGTCAAAAGTCATTAAGTTTTTTTTTAAATACTGTGCATCTAATTTCTATGTAAGTAATAATAAAAATTAAACTTTTGAAATTTTCTCCAAACAGTTTCTGCTACTACCCACGCCGCGTTCACATAACAGTCACATCCAACACACTGGACTTCACGGTGACGGGTGGCTTCAAAATTAACTGCGGTCCTCTGCCCATCATCGTTGAAAGCCTCAAGGATCCATTCAGGCCCAACAAATTGAAGTTAGAAATGTTCACCGACTGCAGAAATCTACTCCGCTAACTTTAAGCTTACTAACCATGTGTCCTTTAAATGTTCCGAGATATATTATACCTCACATATAACCATGTAATGTGTCATATCCGTCTCGTAATTGATTTATGACAAAAAGGTTTAAATGCATTGTACACGATCAGAATGTCATCATAGTCACTCTAGCAAACATAACAAACATTACTTTAAAATATTCCAGTATTATAATTACTAATGACAAAAAAAACCACTGTCACAACTTAATTTTAAATATTTCAGAAGCGGCGACATCATACTATCCGTAAACGGCATCTCACTGGATGGAGCCACTCACGGCGACGCTGTGCGATTGATGACGTCATCACCCATCGACCAGTTGGAATTGGATGTTGTCTCCTGGCCTGGATCATCCGTGTAATAGTAGAATTGCTGAATTTTTCCAACGTTAAGAGAAACTGAAAAACTTTGTGACGCTAAAGTTGAAAACATTCAACTGTCGCATAACAGAAGTGTTACAATAACGAAACTATTTGAGTCTTATTCTATACATGTTTATTTATTAAAAGAAAATCGGAACGCATTCGAAGTCCTGTTCATTGTTCAACTAATCTTCGTCCATTTTTAACGAATAACATTTTTACTACTGCTTAAAAAGTTATTATATATTATTTATCCGCTGGTATTTTTGTTCTATACATGTATGTTCACATCGTTATTTAACAATTTTTATTCGAAATGAAGGCACAGATTGTATTATGTTTTTTACAATAAAGAATTATTTTCTTCATCAACGTCGGTTTAGTATTGAAACATATCAGTATTATATGTTGATTATATATTAAATACTATCGTTAATACTTAAATTATTATTTGAGTTGTTCATTTTTCATCAAATGATCAAAACTTTGAAATATATATATATATATATATATGATCGACTGGAATTTATATATATATATATATATATACATATATATACACATATGCATATATAATCTTCTTACCTGATAACAGTACATTAAATAAAAACAAGCTAAAGTTGAAAATTGTTGTTTATTTGAGAAAAAATTTTGTATACAAAAATTTATATAATACAGCTTGTACATACATATACATTATAATTATTACCATTATACCAAAATGATTACACACAAATTTACAGCATATTTAATAAATGAAGTTTAAAATTAATTAAAAGAACATCAATTCTTGCAGACTTGAAATATAGAAACGACTAGAGCCAGATACAGTGGGGTGAGTATGATTGAAAATGAGAGATGTGACAAATTGTTCAATTTCAAACAAACTAACAAGTAAAATGAAAACAATGCGATGGTGAAAAATGATGAAAAGAACATCTTGAAAGTGGCACTCTGTCTGCTGATGCTTCGAGATTGCAGTGAACGAATGTACATGATGATGATCAGATAGGCAAGCAGTCCACTGCAGACGAACATAGGTGTAAAGACGATGAACCAGGACATCTCCAAGACATCCTCCAACTTTAAAACCAGCAAAACCGACGAAAGAAGAATGCACACCAGATTGATCCACAGTTCGTACATCGTCATCCCTAACACTTTCGACACTTTGTCATACGACAAAAACATTATGTTTTATTTAATTTGAAAAATTTTACATGAAATCTATATTACAATGGCAAAGAATCTTACTGTTTAAAAAATTTCAAAAACGTTTACATTATATAGACGATAATGAAATTTGTTCACAATGTAAACAATAAAGAAACTAAAATTGAAATTTTTTAGTTTGTGTTTTTAACAATAAAATTTAATCAAAAATAGGTTATAAATTAACTGTATAAAAAAAATTTATTAGTTTTTAACTGAACAATTTGAGATGGTTTGTAAATAAACTTTGGTTCAATTTTTTACTAAGTTAACATTTAGTTTTTAATTATCACCAATGACAACAACCACCACAAAATTTACCTGCTTCCAATAGTACAACAAAATTATTCAAATATTCTTCTGAATTGCTGAAATATTATTTCAATTAATATTGCTCAATAATTATTAAAACGTTCAGTTTAAAATAGAGCTATTTATTTTTTTGACAAAATTTTCTGCGATCTAAATACTAGTTTTATAAAATTTGTGTGTTAAAAAATTAATCTATTATAAATATAATAATAATATTTTTGTTGTCTGTATATTTTTATATATATTATATATAAAATAAAAATATAAGAAGATATATATTCAAACAAATAAATAAATATAAAAATAATGTTTTTTTATTAATTGCAGTCAAATCTGTTTTTAATACCGAAATCCTACAGCACACACATGACATGACATATTTTATTTTAATTCATCAAATAAATCTTCATTTACCAAAAATATAATGAATTAAATAAATTTTAGAAGATAAAAATTAATTTCCACATAAAATTAAGAATGAATGATGTATCATTTGAGTTTGCTCCAAGAAACATGATGTTGGACTGGAGGAAAATAAGTTTGTTGCGCATATTAATTATAAATAACTATGGTAATAATAATTATACTAAAAAAATAATGTTAGCATATTTAAAACAATTGAAATAAATTTTATTATCATTAAAATTGGTTTCAGAATGGTATGTAGTTAGTTTTTTTTATAAAAGTAAAAAAGCTTCTTGAACTAAATAATGATTAAATGTTTGCAAAGGTTCTGTGAGTGTTGAACAGATCATTCAGAAGAAAGACTTTGAGAGCCTGCAAGAGAATATAATGAATGTGGCATTCATTAATGTTCACAATGAATTTGTATGTTTTATATTATTATTTATCTATCTATGTTAGTATAAAACTATAATAAATAACCACAACAATGACTGTTATGTCATACTATTATGAATAATTTTATTCTTGGCTTTTAAATTTTTTTTTTATTTAACAATTTCTTGTAGTTTGTTTAATTTTCTATACTTTTCAGAATTTGCAAAAAATCGATCCAACATTGGTGAAACTGTTCCAACTTGCTCAGCTTATCATTGAATACTTGATGGTTATTGTTGCAGCAACTATTTTAAGCTAAATTTTATCAATCCTATTTATTAATTCAATCTACAATTAATTTTAAATAGTTTTAAATATATAAATGAAATTGATATGACAAATGATCTCCTTAATTAATTTAACTTAGCACACTCAAGAATATTTTGTTACAAAACTCCAAGAAAACATTCAGGTAACAGATAAACTGAACAAGGTTGTTTAATTCTTCAAGCATTTTCTATAACTTGGTTGGAGATGAATTTTTTAATAATTTATGATAATTAAATCATTTTTAGAAATGCTCAGCGTGTGCTGAAGAGATAAAAATTTTGAGAGATGACCTTCAAAAGTTCAAACTGGAAAGTCACAATCGCAAGAAGATTATCATAACTCAGCAGAAACTTTTGAAACATGGCGTCAACTCGTATTTCCAAGTGTGACGTTTCATCATTTCATTGTTTTTTTTTAATTTGTTTATTTAAAACGCATCTACTTGTAATTTTATATCTTTATATAACTGATTTCCTTTTCACTTTTTTTTCGCAGTGTCCATATTGTTCGAAAGAGTTCATGAGTGAAATATTCTTACAAAGACACATGTTGAAGAGACACAACGCTGACAGCAAGACAGCACTTCAAGAAAACACGAGTGCCCTGCGAACTCTAGAAAGTGAAAATGAATCACTGAGAAATGAAGTGAAGACCCTGAATGGTAAGTTACAAGAGGAAGTTCTCAAACATAAGAAGAAGGTGGCAGTTGCGGTAGTTGGATTTTTCAGTTTTGTTCATTTTAATGCACTTCCGCAACTGTTTGGTTGTATTTGATTTAATTAATTAATTGATATCTCCTACTGCTGTAGGAGTGTTGCTGGTTCTATGCTGATAACTTTTCTTCATGATGTCACAGGTAAAAGATGAAAATCAAAGTGAAAAATATAATGAGAAAATGTTGAATGAGCTGAAGGATTCCCACCAAGTTTGTCATATCCTACTCAATTAATATTCAACTCTTCATTAACTTTTTTGTTGAATTAATTGGATCTGCTTTTTAGCTCATCTAACATTATCATCGTTCATCATGAGTTTTGTCGTTCGTTTCAAGTTTTTGTGTTTAAGTTGGAAATATCAGCAAATGATAACGCACGCTCGACGCTGGTGGTGAGGAATTCAATGAACATTTATAAAACATTTGAATTTTCTGACGTTTACACCCCAATTTGATCTTTCCTATTCACGCCGATCGCTTAATTCCAATTAAATGCTGGTAGTTACTCAGCGAACTTGTCTTGATGTGATGTACGGTATCACGTTTATTTCATCATCCCTAGAAATGTTGTAATCAATTTACAATCTTTATGGACTGTTTACATTGCTACTGTTTTTTCTTGTTTTTAAAACCATTTCTAAATTGTTGAGCAGTTTGTGGTGTATGTTATAATTTTAAATGTTCTCTTCTCTCCCTACAATTGCTGTGAGCCGAAGTATGACGTGAATGTGGCATGAACATAATATGAAATTTCAATCTCTGCTTAATATTTTTCAACTATATACCCTTACGAAGTGAATTTAAAATAATGTTAACACCATAGAAAGAGTTAGAGGAACTCGAGAGAAACTTTCGAAATCAAGTCAAATCGGTGGAGATGGAAAGGTCGGAGGCTGAGAAGGCTCTTGCAGTTCTACAAAAAAGATTGAGTAAATTAAACATATATCACTTAATATATATTAATCATGAAATTAGGAATTGAAATATAGTAGGTTGCCTTTTACTTATCAATAGTAAAAATAGGCCCAACAATTAATATTCGTTTCTTTTATTTTCAGTGAAGCGTATATTAGGAAGAATAAGAATACAAAAATCAATTTTACTTTAACATTCCATGGTTACAATTAATAAGTCCTATTGATAATGATAAAAAAATAGTTTTATTAGTTTACAAATGAATGAACCAGGAAATGGAAACTTTATTCTGGCCTCGACGGAGATGAACGACCTTCAGAAACAGCGCGAGGAGGTGGCCCTCCTGAAAGAACAACTGACCTCTCAGTTGAAGACAGCTTCTGGCGACGGCAAACATTTTGTGGAGTCTGTGGCAGCCACAGAAGAACATTGGAAGAGAGAGCTGCAACATGTTGAACAATTGTACAAACAGCAAGTTCAACGGCTTCAGGAACAAGTGTGTAGTTATTAAAAACGTGTGCAGTTTATATAAAAAGACATTGGAGAACGATGTTACTAATGTTCAGTCATATCGTGGTTTCTGGTCATATTAGGTTGATAGGAATTAAGACCATCATCGTCCATTCAAAATGTTCATTTTTTTCAACAATTACTTCTCTTAGGTGAAAAATTTGAAACTATCTAACAAGAACTTAGTGAAAAGGTTTGAAGAAAGGCCACAAATAAATTCGGAAGTTGCATTCTTAAAAAATATCTCCGAAAAAAACAAAAAAATTAAAAGTGTGCAAATAACTACAACAACAAAAATTATTGACGATGACAAAACAACCGGAAAACCAACAGGAAATGTGGTTAAGTCACAAAAAAACAAAATTACTGTTGATAGCGATGATGACGTCATCAATGTTCCCGTAGCCTCAGTCAGAAGGAGGATGATGAATGAACAGTTGGAAGAAATGAACAGTGCAAACATTCTTCCTCCTCCTCCTGCTGCTGCTGCTGCTGATGTTGCCTATGATGTTCCTAAATTGTCAGGTTTCGTCATCACCCAGTCTCTTATCAATCAATTGCTTCTGCATATCATTTTTTACCGTTTTTTGTAATAATTTTGATTGAATATTATTTTGTATAAGTTATATCTTATAGTATTTACAATTAGTTAATAAATTAATTTGGACGCTGCTGACTCCAATGCACATTTAACATTAGTATTTCCTTACTATTTTTTTATTATGTAACTTTGACACGTTTAGCATTAACAGACTGTTACTTTTGTAACTGTGTTCTTTAAATATAGTTTATTTGTAGAGTCATAGCTATATAGTAATAACTGACTGATATTGACGAAGATGAATATAATGTATGAAAAGAAGTTGAGGCAGATGAAAGAAGACTGCAGGCGGCCAGGACGCAAGTACAACAGGAGCTACAACTCCGTCTCGATAGATTAGGAGTTGAGGTTGGCAATGGCAAGTTGACATCATTAGAATTACTAATATAGCTTCTCTCGATCTAATACTACCATCACTAACGAAACGATAGTTACTTCAAACGCTATAATTCGCATTGCTACTTTAAACAGTAATTCAAACTAAGCGTTTAACATTGTTTTGTTGTAGTTTGGTAGTTCATTTTTATGTTTATGAGCAGTAGAAAATGTAGTATTAAAATAAACCTAAACCACGGAACACTCGGCGCAGAACATGCGGATCAGTGATGAGGCGTTCAAGAGCATCTCAAGCACCATACTCACTCAGAGGATGGATTGGTTCAAGGTACTTCTACTTCTTTTTCACAACTTTTCGAACATGTAATTTTTATTAGTGAATGGATGTGGCAAACATTTTAAAATTAATTTTTTATTGATTAATTGGATTTTCGGTGAATGATATTTTTTTATTTAATTTTTGTAGAATCTGCACGATTT